GTGTTAAACAGCTGCGTTTAATAATTTATCGCTACCTCGAATCATTTATCAAATACTTGAAATATGTTTATGCAATCATTACTTCAGTAAATGTTGTCAAAAGTTTTGCAAGAATCAATTTTACGGGCAAAACGCAGCGCAATCTCGAGACGTTCAAGATCCACTGGAAACGACTCTCGAGCTCCCTGAATAATCCTAATTTTTGCCTGCGAACTTCCAGTAATTGAGTTGCAAAACAGCTTTCCGAAGTTCGAGCCAGGCGACAATTGCAAGCTGCAGCTTCACCGCATATGTTTTTCCCCTTTGTGAGAAAAACAGCGGCATACAAAATGCTGCCAAGCGGAAAAGCCAGAATGTAAAAATAACTTGGAAGAATAAAAAAACAAGATCGCACGGAAATCGATTGGGAGGCGTACACGTATCAAAAGCAAGGATCTGGCCAAAAGCTGTGTTTGGAAAAATGGAACGAAACAATCGTGGAACACGAATTGCATATGGATGTTTAAATAAGAGAATACGGTCAATGGTGAATAAATGTGGATGTGATTTTGGAGTCTGTTGGTGAACGCTCGATACAGAGAATAAGAAGAATATTTGCATTCTCTGGTCTTGAATGTATCGAGTAGAATACACAGTATGTACACGATATCGTACATTATACGTGAAAAATATTCAGCATTACAAAAGTATATCGAGTGTTAAACAAGTGAAACTGTACCTGGTACATCGTCAGAAAAGTGTGTCTAATCGATTGAAGCTCGTTAATCCGTCTTCAGCATCTATCTCCTCCAAATTAGACACGATCTACGGTGGAAATAGCAACTATGAGTCAGCTGATTTCAATTCCACTACCGATCCGTCGAATATCGCTCGGGAATTAATCATTCTTCGAGAACCAGAGGAACAAAATCAAGATATTTCATCGGGATAATGGCGTTTTAACACGATTTTCTACATTCCGAAGCATTACACCGAAACGACACTCGCAATTACGGCGTGAACGATTCAAGGACGGGGACGATGAAACCGAGAACAATTGAATTTTCACGGCAGGCTCTTGCTTTCCATCTCGAGATTAACATCTCCGAGCCCGCTAATCATTCCAGTAAACCGAAACGAGTCGGACAAATTAAAAGAGACTCTTGGAATGAAGAAGATCCTCCCGAAGAGGATCCCTGGAGACTTACACGATGAGGATCGAGCCTGTGTACACTCTTTATAGAAATAATTAACCCAATTTGCGAACTCTCTGTGTAAGCGCTGCATGGAACAGCAACAAGAGAAAATTCAATTCAAATACTCGTTACGAAAACGCGTCGTTTTCACGGGCCCAAGACACGTTCCGTGTACAAACGAACTTGTAACAAAGGGCAACATTAATTTACACGAGCGGGAAGACCGTTCTCTACGATTCAGCGAACCTCTCTATTGTCACAGCCCTTCCAAAGTCGAGATGACGTCGGGTCGTTTCGAATGGTATCGTTACTTTTAGGTTAAGATCTAAGGGTACTCTTTGACTCACGTTCGATCTATATTGTATTGGAACATTTCACCTTTCCACTGATTGGGTTCACGGCGTTGCGGATAGTCCCATCTTTTTTCGACACCCTGTATACCCATGGTAATATAAGAGTGAGTTTCGGCTTAGCTTCTATTCAACTTGAAACGAATAATTCATTGTTAAGATGAAAACACTATGGGCAAAAGCCGCGTAACAAGTGTAATAAAAGGTAATATACTGGTTTTAAAAATTCAGCTCCGGTTACATATTCATCACTTTCACTCGATGCCATAGGGGATTCGGTTATGCAATGTCATACGTACTGCTTCAGACTCGATGTTTGCGAGGCGCGTCTCCTGTTCGATCCAGGCGTCGTTTTATGGTCCCAGCTGAAACGCCCGACATCAGAAAGGATACGCACTGCGGTATCATTTCAAGCGCAGGCCGTTTCAGCGAAGTAACGACGCCACGTGGACTACATTTCGTGTGGAATTTCCACAGTGGACGAACCTTACTTTCCCTCCATTCTCCACAAAATTCGGTTGCACAACAAATGTCACTAGAGATCGAGAATTAAACGTGCAAAGTGAAACGACTGGAAGTGTCACAGAGTTGGGACAATTTATTCGAATTATAAAAATTTCCGTTTTAATTCTTCCTCCTGCGTCCTGGCGAACGTAGAAACGTCTAATGGTGTCACGACCCTGGCCGAACTCCAGTTTCAACGTGACCCCACGATGACCCCGTATCCTGGATGCTCGCCAGACTCGCGACGTCCGGATACATCACATATGACGAGTTTATCCGGGTATAACAAATTTCTTTTGTATCGCGATATGTGCTTAGAAACCGCTGAATTCCGACTGACAGATCTTTACGGTTGTGCACACAAAAACGATGAAGTTTTTCGTTTAAATTCTGGAGTTGTACAATATACAGTCACAGGCAAAACAGTAACAACTTGAGCATAATCATTTTAGGTATTAATTAACGAATAGTATGGATTTCTTTTGACGTTATTTTCTTATGTATTGATACTCTCGATGAAAATATATAAATTGATCTTCAAAAAATTATTGCGGTCAACTTGTTACAATTGCGTCTGGTACCGTATGTTCGAAAGTACAATAATTTTCAGTTGTATGAACGATTCCGCTATCTCTTATCAGAGGTGTGACTCGAACACTAATTCGTATAAGACTGTGCTTAATTTTCATTACTTACTTTACATTCTAATCCCTAAGTCTTTCTATTTTTATTATCTCAATTTTGTATGTTCCGTTTCGAGAGAATATTCTGATCGTAATCAGTTTGATTATCTCCTCCCAAAACGAAAACTGAGACCCGAATTTCGTGGGAGGGCGTAATTACGATGCCTGAAATTTCGTTCTCGAAAACATGATTCACCCGACAATTTGTATCGCGTGCAAATAGAGTAGCAAGTATTTGCCGTCCGGGGATGGTACCGGGTTAATTGAACGCAAATAGCATGGGAAACGCGTCGCCAAGAAAAACAGGCGAATTTGGTCCAGTTCTGTCAGCGTTTCAACGCCTTGTTTACATAATCGCGAAGCTATCATGCAATCTTGTTCCAAGTGGATCTTGTTTCCGTTTCTTACGTACATTACAAATTACGGTTGACACGAAAAGAATGTTCAGAACACCTTTTCCACCGTGGAATAATGTTCACCAGCGATTCTAATGTACCATCACACGCTAAACTCATTTCGGTCTCTAGAACTCTCGTAAAGTCTAGAACTATTCTTCGCTAGGGAGAATCTTCACCGACAATCTGGCATTTCTGGATTTCAGGAAACATGGTGCAGAAGATGGTGGCACATCTCCCAAAGGAGTCTGACCGTGACGACCAGTTCCTTCGCTCCGAGTTTAGGGCCGATTTTAGCTAAAGGAATGGATGATTCGAGAATCTCGTCGAAGGAGACGAAGACGACACCATCGAGATTGTCGAAGGATAAGACGGAGAAGAGCTTGGTTCCACAAACCGCTGAAGATCCTGGTGAGTGATCGATAAAAATGAGACAAGAGATGATACAGCGTGTTCCCAGAAAGTAACTGACAAGGGAAGGCAGGAAAGTATCTCCCTCCGATTTTGATGAAACTTCGTGTATCTCTTATGTAGTCAAAAATAAGGGATACGTATTTTTTTTTATCGGCTGAGACGCGACTTTAAGGGGTGAACCCACCCCTCGAAGTTTCGACCCGAAAGTACTATCTCGAAAACCAGAGAAGATACACGAAAACTTCTAATGGGCGAGGTTTGCAGTTTTTTTATCTAGAATAATATGGTGCTAACAAATTTTCCAAAATATAACTTCTTTGTAACAAAAAAATTTCGGGTCGAAACTTCGAGAGGTGGTTTCACCCCTTAAAGTCGCGTCTCAGCTGATAAAAAAAAATACGTATCCCTTATTTTTTACTGCATAAGAGATACACGAACTTTCATCAAAATTGGAGGAAGACACTTCCGTACCTTTCCTTGTGAGAGATCTATCGTCGTGTCGCGAAAATAAGATTTTATCACCTTCACGCGTACCGTGGCCATCAGCCGATCGTGGAACGCGTTAATTTTCTTGCTAGAAATCTGCTTTGTGATCCGCGAACAGAAACGAATCGTGGACTTTGATTGCGTAGTAAATCATTGGAGTTCTTGACTAGCTGTCTACAGAACGCGAGAATAAGCTACGAGAACGTGTTGGTTTGACGCATTAAATATTGCACGTAAATATACCTCGAGGTTGCCACACGGCTAGGTAACAGTATAATTGTCGATGCCTATAGATAGATTGTTATATTTAGGTTTACGTTAGTTCGCCATTATTGAAAAGTTCGTCAGAGGGATATGGATCAAAGCGTACGCGTTAAAGTGTGTCGAGTTTTTAAGCGAAAACGTTTTAACGGCAGCCTGTTATGCTCGCTTTTACAGTAGAAAAACGGTCGATCGTACAGTTTTTGCTGACCTTGTCCTATGGTGAAAATGATACAGCTCGGTTACACTTCAGAAGCAATTTCAGCGTGTCTTACACAGGAGATATTTTACTCAAAGCTTAGTTTCAGGATCGCAATTAAAGAGGCGTTACTTACTAAACATTTATTTTGTGGCCAGAAAACAGACGTGAGTTTTAAATAACAATTTGAGAACATACAATTATGGAAAAGATCTCTTTTCAACTCCTTTATGTACACTTAGGCATTAACTAAACCGGTATAAGGATAGACCATTGTAATTCGATGTTTTGGTGAATCTACGATTCCTATTAAGTATCCAAGTCGTTGCTGGGAAACCTTGAATAACAACTGTACAACACTCCATCGAAACAACGACGTAAAGGGGTATTCTCGAACGAACTATTATTTCAGTAAACCAGGAAGGGGAACATGGGTTTTCGTACATTCGAGGAAATCTCGTTCGAGAATACCAGACTAAACTATAAACTATCGACTCTCCTTTGGCAACCTCTCCTGACATCGAAAAGCGGAATATATTACAAAGAAAAGTTCGTTCAGGAGGCTGCCAAACGATGGTTATCCGCCGCGTTCAGACTGTCCTCGAGTACCTCAAACTCCTCGAACTCCATCTTGCCGAAATCGTCCGGAGTCCTCCAGTTGTTCTCGTTCACCTGCCACCTGGTCAACGCGCTGCCGATGAATCGACTCGGATAAGTCGACTTGGCGTCGTCCAGGGTGCCCAGCTTGAAGTCTGCTTTAAAGCCTTTTCCATCCTTGTTGTCCTCCTTTTTTGGTTCCAGGCCAATCACCACGGGCGGTTCCCTTTTCACCTCGGACTGATCCAATTTCTTCTCATCTACCTCCTCGTTCTCTTTCTCTTGTTTCTCGATCGTGGTGATCTCGATGCTGGGTGTTTCCGCGATAGTGTACTGGCTCAGATCTGGTGCTTTTTCTCTGTTCCAACATCTCAGATGACTCTCGACCAGCCTGCCGGCTAGTTCTAGCCGGCTGTCGCAGGAGTTACTCTTCACTAGTCGGAATTTCACGTAATCGCTCGATCTGTCGATGCACCTGAACCTATTCTCGACGACAGGTGAAATTAATGGTCCGTTGCTAGAGTTTACTACTTTGCCTCCATAGTAGGTCACCGAGGTGCCATATTCTCGAATCTTCTTGAGAACGTCCTGGGACACGTAGTGATTGGAACCGTGAGCCTCGTTCCCTTCGTCCTCGTGACACTCGACCTCCTCATCCTCCGAGGAGATACACTGCACTCCGCTACCCTGGTCAGTGTCAGGATAATCGCTGGACACACCGGAGCTAACGCTACCGGCGTCCCAGTTGTGATGATGATGATGGTGATGATGGTAACGATTCACCTTGTGCTTGGAGGACGTGGAATCGCTGGGCGACGTGTGACCGCTTCTGGCCTCGAACGTTTGGGCTAGAATCCTCGTTTTCGATTCGCAACGGGGGCTATCCAACTCATCCTTGCATCCCACCACGGACGCGTTCGAGGACGTGGATTTCTCCATGTTCTCGAACAGTTTCGTGAGATCCTTGGCTCTGCTGGAACACCTCGACCTGAAAGAAATATCAAATAAATTTAACAGGTCAAATACTAGGATTCATTAAACATCCGTTACTCTTTCGATTCTTGCAGTCTCGCGACAATTCCGAGCCACCCTTTATCTTCAGAGTATTCTCGAACATCCTTCTCACATTTTTCACCGTGTCCGGGTCGGGCAGTTCCTCGTCGATTAGCTCACGGTTCACTCGGATAGGGTGGTAGAAGAAGTGCTTCTTGATGGACGACTGTTTCGGGCTCTTTGCGTTGCCGCCATCCGCGCTCTCGCAGTTTCTCTCACGGTTCTCCGTCTCGGACTTCTTCTGTATCGCCCCGGCTATCTTGCACGTCGGTTCCGATCTGGATTTTCCTGCGCAGGACGGTTTTCGTTCAATGGTCTCTGCACGTACCGGCTCGATGATAACAACGTTGTTGTCCAACAGCAGCTCCTGGAACGAATAGTCCCGCAGGTACTGCATCAGACCCTCGTACGTGACGTCGCCGCGACCGGTGGCGTACATATTCTTCCCGAACATGTTGGATTTCACGATTTTATATCGCACGTGATCGAACTCCTGGCCGTCTTCAGGATGGCATTCGATCGAATCCACGCAGCTTCTGGACCTAGTCAAACTGCTGTGACCCTTCTTGACCTCATTGTTCTTGCTCGCCGACGGTTTCCCGTTGCACGTTTGTTCCTCGCCGATACCGTCGTCCACGGATCTCCTTCGTGTGTCGCTTCCAGACTCGGAGCCCAACCCAAGATCCGAGCTCTCGGATCTAGCCTCGAATCCCAAGGTTCCTTTCACGGCGCTACACGCCTTGCCCAGGATATTCGACGTCCCTTTAACGATCCTTTCAAACCTACCCTCGTTTGATTTACTTTTGGAGACCACCTTCGGCAAGGTCTTCTGCTCGAAGAAATTCTTCGCGTTCACCACCGCTGCGTTCGTCCCGTCCTCCTCTTGGTCGACGGTCTGGAAAAGAATGATGCGGGAGTGTTTTGTGCGGAAACAGGTACAAAAGACCTCCATTTACCGGAACGACCCATCGACTGGACCTATTGGTGGTCATCGGAACTACCACCGACCAGTGACTCTTATACAGAATTAGGTATATAAAAGTTTACACCCCCAGAAACTCATTTTATAAAGGTTCGTATTATCCGAACCGTTTCGTCCCTCGACAGGTTTGATAAATGGATCGTCGTCCTACTCGTGAGCAGGGCTCAAAAGGATGGATAAAAATTTTGCTGAACTTTCAAAAACTCACCTCTCCGTTCCTAGGATCTCCGTCGTCCCCGTCAGACTTTCTATCCAATTTCACGACGTCCAGACGATCGTTCGCCACCGTTCCGATCTCCTGGAATTTCCCATCTACCGGAAGGTTCTCCGTTCTTGGATCGACTTCCGGCGAGGAGCGTCGATGTCGTCGCTTCGTGACGTCGTTGTCGACGACCTTGAGCACCTGTGGCCTCCGCGACATGTCGTCCTGTTCCTCCGTGTCCGAGATCCAAATCGATTTGTAATCTTCCGCCTCCTCGACCTTGTGATCCTGTTGTTCCGTCCTGGCGGAGGCTAAAGGAACGTCGAGTATGTATGTATTCTCATCGATCTCGAACGACGGGGATCGTGGATCGATGGTCCCCTCACGGAAGCAATCTGTCGAGTTCCTTTCCTCCTCAGAATTCCCCGTTGGCTCCTCTCGACACGATTCCTTCTTGACGCGCGCGGCAGAATCCTCTCTGAATTCGTGCAACGAGTCGGGTTCCTTCGTGTCCTTGCGACGACGGTCTCGTTCAATTTCCGACGGGTTCTTTACCACCTTTGTCGTGGTGCTTCCTTTGCATTTTTCCTCGTCCGTCGCGTTGCTTCTTGCTCGTCTCGCCTCGATCACACGAGGTCCAAGGTACTGGAGGGCTTTCAGCTTTCCGCCGCCCCGTCTGCCGTTCCGCGCGGCCAGATTGTTATTCCGCGCGTCCTCCTCGTCGAATTCGAGACGCACGTTCGAGAGAGGTAACAGGTTCAGCACGTCGAAGTACTCCAATTCACCGTCGTCCTCGAACAGTATACTGTCCAAGCTCCTGTGCTCCTTGCGCTTCCGTTTGACCTAAATCGAGCGTTGGGGAAGGAAGGAATCGGGGTCAGTTGTGACTGGTTTACCTGTAGTTTAATTGGGTTTTGTAGTGAGTGGATTAATTGCTGTTTAAGGAGGCCTTACCTCCTTGACTGTCAGGGTGGAGGTAATTTCTTCATTAAGTAGAGGAACTAGGGGCGAAATGTTAAGTTTGTTTAACCGTTTGGTGGTGCTGCAAGGGCGCGCCAGAAATTACCACGAGTGACGTGGAAAGGTACGAAGGATTACACGATGATTGAAGAGAATTTTTAGCGATAAATTGAATATATTGTGACGTAATTCGGTACTGGTTTTTGATGGAAAGAATAAGTACTTTGTTGGAGGATTGAGAACGAAGTGAAACTGGAAATATCAATTTTGAATGGAATATGTCCGTCGAACTGGGATAACATTCTGGTAAATTTTCATTTACAAACCGGTATTACGCGTTTCGTAATGGCCACATGCTGATTAGCAGTTTCCTTTGACAGCGGTCACGAATTTCAATACTACTGGTTTGATATTATTAGTTGAACTGACCTTATTAGAGACATATATGTACGTACATATACGTGTGTTCCACAAACGTACGCGCGAAACCTGTGACGTCGATCCGTAATTGCACGATTAATACGCACACACACGGACCTGGTTGGTTTCGATTATTAGAAATATCTCATTAATATGCACGGCTATTTAATTTCGGTCGCTATAATCATCGCGATACAAAGCACTCGTATAATTAACAATCTAATAATCGGTTATTATAGCAGCTTGCTCGTAATCGTTCGACACTATCGAACTTCGTGTGGTGCACAATGATATTGAAACACTAACCGCATAATTTTATAACGTGTCTGATGTTGAGATATAATATAATTGCCGAATATATTAAAGTTGCATAATTCCTTATAAGTTACAGTAGAAATCGTAGTTTCGAATCAAGATCGGACCGATCCTACCCCCAGCAGTCAATGGTTACCATGGGAATCTCCTAATCTGCTTTTTTACTTCTATCACAGATATAAAAAACTAAATGATACTATATTATATTTCGTAATTTAGAATACGTAGCCATATGGCAATAGTGGTACGAAAGAGTTAATGGCGGTCTAATCCAACCGCAGGCGAAACAGAAGTCGTTTACCTGAGTGTAAATGCAATCGATGCTACGGTTCCCTTCGATCGGCCAGTTATCCTCGACGATATCCACCAAACCGCTAACCGTGTCCAGCTCCTGGACGCTGTGATAACGTCTCGGCGATTCGGGCCAGTCGAGGATGTTCAGACGATCGGGATCGGGACGATTAGATCGCACGTATGGTAGAGGATCCGGAAACGTCGCGAGTCCCGACGGGATCGAGTGAAGACCGCAAGCCGATCGTGATTGGTAGGATTTCGCCTCGTTGAACCTTTCGTAGGAATCCGAGAGATGTTGTTGACTTTTTGAGAGCCTGAAATATACACCCAGGTATTAGACAGTTGTATAATTTCGAAGCTAACTAATTAATACGAATACAACTTCATCGATCTTTGGAAAATGCTCTGCATCAAGCTAATATAGGAGAAGATTGCAGAATTTGGACCATCGCCTGCGTTGGTTCACAACTGTAACTTGTCATGGGTAAGCAATTTGCGCTGTATGATAGATAGGTATTGTCTATCATACGACGGAAATTGCTTACACATGACAAGTTTCAGTACTGGTCCAACGTAGGCGATGCTCCAAATTAGGCAACCTTCCCCTGTACAGGGTGTCCCACCGAACTCTAGCCAAATGATACTTTTCTCTCACGTTTTTTTGTATCGTCAAAAACAAGTGGGATATTGACGATCCTCACGTTATATGAGACACCCTGTATATTTCTGGCTCGTTTGATACACTTCCAGTCGCTTCAGTGGTACCCAGAACTGCAAATTCGAAGCTTCCAAAAGTACAAAGTTTCACGAGCATTTTCACGCGAAGTAACGAACAGTTCCAATTGAAATTTTTATTAGCTAAAAAGCCCCAGGCTCCAGGCACAGAATTCGAATTCCACGCAGAGAGGGCACAGCAGTTGCATTATTAACGCTGCTTTAACATATCGAACCGGCTGCAGCGGACCGTAGAAGTATAATGGAAACAAGAAAGTTTCTCGAGCGGTGGTTCCGCGCCGCGTGGAAAATCTCACGGGGCCATAACGAGTTTCTATGAATTTTTGAGAAATCCCTCGATCCGGTCCCCCTGGTCGATCAATTCCCTGCTACGTATCCTTCAAGTTCGTTAATTCGTCGAGCTGCCGTTCTAATCCGAAGTCGAATAGACGGCGAATCGAATTTCCCGCGCTCCGAGCACCGATCATCTTAATTGGCCGTTCCGGGGGGAAGAGGGACAATATTTGCTCGCGCGTTAACGACACTGCTCGCGAATAACACGGCTGATTGGGACCGTAATCAGTGGATAGGACGTTCTTCGCGAGGGATCGTGTAAAGAATTCGTTCGTTGCCCGGAGACCGTGCAAAATTGAGCCATTAAGCGCAATTAAGGAACTTCGAGAAGAGACTTGTTATGCTTTGCAATTTTCGTAGTAATTAACGGTCCTCGACGATACGTATTTTCTCCCGTTACGGAGTACAGTTCATTTAATTTATACTCAATTTCTACCAACATGTAATGCTATTAAGAGTCTTTTACGCAGTTTCTTGAATTTCTTTATCTTTGAAAGCGAGGACTTGTTCGAAAACATTTCATTCTACATTTTTTACCTTCCTTATAGAATCGATTTTATTCCTTCACAAAACTATCGAATCGACGTACCATTTCAATTACATACGAAAGATTTCACTGTACTTAGCTATAATATCTAAATCACATGTACACGTCTCGGTTCGACGATTCCGAGATTCATTTTGATTGACAGTCTAACGCAATCCTGTGAGCTCATCGTTCTGTTCCTTGAGTTTCGACGGTACTCTCACCTGTCCTTCAGCGAGTTCCGATCGATCAGCTTGGCCCTCGGTATCAATTGATGCCTCCTGGGCAAATCGAAGGTCGATTGACCCAGCCGGAAATGGTGCGCCTCTCGATCTTGTCGAGATTCGTCCTCGGATATCACCGCAAGGCTCCTCGTTCGTTTCAAGAGCTTCCTGCGGTCCTGCGTGGACTGCGCGGTGTGGGCCTCGTGTCGTCCCCCTTCTCTGTAATTCGACAAATCGACCATTGTTAATCCTGCGCAAACCACGTCGAAACGATTCCTAATTATCACGATTTTGTAAATTATCAAATTGGTTTCCCATTAATTGGTCTTCCATCGAAAGCGGGGGATCATCGTGGAATTTAATTATCAGGAATGACCAGATCCAGTTACGATCGATCTCGAGCCAGTGAACTCGTTTCGTTGTCCCAATTTGTCTAACAAGCAACAGGATTCCGGTGTGACTTGTTAGCCGATGCAACTGGCCGAATGAAACGCCTCGCGAGACTGTTAAACCGCGTGTCGTTGTCTGCTCTCTGAGCAAATAGAAGCGGGATCGGAATGATTAAGTATCATTGCTTGGGGGAAATGGGATTTTGTCACGGTATGTATACTTACTTGAGAGTTGTCTACAATTGTAGCAATTAAGTCTAACGAATCATTCATTTCATTTAGAACCTACGAGAACTCTCAACCCCTTCCCTTACGATTTTTTCGACGACTACAGTCTCCAAAATTTATTTATCGTCGATAATTTCCCAGGAATAAAATAAATATTAATACTAGTAAAAGAGTATATTTCCTCGACTTAAAGAAAAGGAATAACACTCAGGTTTATTTAACCCTTTTTATGTTCGTCAACACGAGTTTGACACGATGTTATAAGGTAAGGGGTTAACAATAGACGTTAACATCTATTCGATTCCCGTTTCTCCAAATTGCTCTATAAAACCGTAAATTCTCCTAAACGACTAGCCTAGTTAACCATTACTCTAAATATCATGTCACATATTCCAACAAACACTGAAGAAAGTGTTATCCTTCAAGCTACTCAGAATTCCATACTAGTCATTGAGCATTCGAAACTCGATACTCGAAACTCGATACAAATGTATCAGTGTTCGATCTGCAGACTATTGAAAACTGGTCACTCCGTTATTTACAATTTCCCATTGTATTCAATTCTCGGTTCTCGATACATCTCTAAGCCCTTAAAGGCTAATCCCCCGACAAAGTGAAACCACTTTTCAATTACCCTATACAGACCTGTGCGCATTCAATTCAATTTGCTCTCGCTGCATCCAACGACGTCGACGGATTTATAGAAACAGCCTTGCATATACTCCACGCGCCTCGTGTTCCCACCATGGACCGTGATTTCCGCGAAAGGATTATTAAATCCAGCAGGTGCTTGGATCAAAAACGTTTGCGCCACCGTCACGTGTATATACCCCAGCGACGACACGATGGTATTCATTATTGAAACGCGATATTGAACTGTCGACTGGATGTATAGCAAGGTCCCGATGTGGCAGCGGTAATGGCAGTTCCTATTTCCCGTAACAATGCCTCCGAACGACAAGCATCCACTGTCAAGTCCGCTAGAACGCAGCGTTTACGTCTGATCGTAGGGAAATTGGACGTTGTTTTGGTGAACAATAAAAGACACCGCAAACAACGCTGAGGATATAAAGCAGGACACGGTAGCCACTTGTTTGCATTTCCCGACAGAGCTGGATAATATTTCATTGTAATTTAACCCTTCGAGCGGGGAAACTGCGTTACTCGAGAATTTTTTCCGTATTCGTTCTTTAACAGGCCTTGGTATTTTATGGTAGAGTTATTGGAAATGAAAGAACACTCGGTGTACGTTGAGAGACTCTGAAATGAGGATCGATACGACATGACCGTGGTTTTAAGAGCAGAGCTTTTACGTCGAACTTTACTTATTTCAATTAGGGACTTGTTTCGGTATAAAAATAATGTTTCGAGCAGAGGGGACGAGATCACGTGTTAGTTCTTGTTTTTCTTGTTGAGTAATGTTGTGGAGTTTACATTTAAAGTGTTACAGTTAATTTAGGATCTTCGATGTATGACACAATATTATATACTCCATATTTTTCCATTTTATTCGTAACTCCATAACATACTTAAGGGAAGAAGTAATTCCTACTTTTGTTTTCGTTATTGTGAATTACTTTTTAAAGTATCATCTCACATAAATTTTACGTTACTTTTCGTGTGACTCTGGACTTCATCACAGACAGCCACGAAACCACTGTAAAATAAAAATTCCTAAATCTGTGCAAGGATTGTTCGTCCTTCCGTGGCATCAGCCGTTTATTCCGCGCACGGTTCACGAATTTACGTGAAAAATCGGCTTAAAGCAACGGTGCATATTTCACTTTATGTAATCCTCTTGACGAAGCAGTCAGTCTTTCAAAATGCCAGCCGGTCGCGCGTGTACAAATTCATACAACGTGGGAGAAAATAAATTGGGGATCGTTCGTCACGCGTTACGCGAGCCAGTTAGCTGATTGATATCGATAATGAGTACCTGGTGCAGGTACTCAGCAACTCGAAGCTTATATTAACATCAGCATCGATCACTTGACTTGGCGATGTATTTCTTGCGCACGTTGCGACGCCAATTTAATTTTCTCTGTGTTGAAATCGAATCATTCAATCAGTTTTTTGATCGTACAGTTGTAGTAAGTACACAGCTGTTTCTTTATTACTCCTGTTTGTCTAAAAAAGTGTTTACTCTGACATTATCATTTTTGTCTAGGTATACATATATTAACATCAGATCAGTAATTTGTTTTATTAACTCTTTAAAGCATAGTGGTAAGAAAAATATACCATATTTTATTAGATGCAAATATGGAATGCTTTTATTATCACCATGCTTCAAAGAGTTAAAGAATTGAAATTCATTTCTCGTTGAATAAACGATCTCAATCTCTTCACCATCAGTATCTATATACATTAAGTCACTTTCGAGTGATATTTCCTCTAAAATATTCAGGTCACAGAACAACGTCAATCATCTAAAATCGAATATGTACTCCAGTCATTTAATCACTCTGTACGTATTGCGTCGTACGTATATTGCCTTTGTCGAACGTGACAGATTTTGCAAGTATCAATTCTGACATCCGTTATCCGTCATTACCTTAAAATCATATATATCATTTCCTTCAACGTTCCCTTTTACGCAAACAAAACGCCAGTTATGCGTGTGTTCTAAAAAGTTAAAACCATGCAAATTGGGAAATATCGGAAATATAGATCGTTTGGGGATAAATTGTAAACACGCACAGGGGGATAACTGCGGCAAAAAATTGTCTGTCGTTCCTCGGAACAGTGATTAATTTCCAGGATTAATCGGATCTCACCAGGTATACATCCTCGTTTAATCTACCCTGTTTCCGCGGCTGGTCGGAACATTTATGCTTTGTTGGCGTGCATTTAACGAGCCGACCACTCGGCTCCTAAACGACGACAGTTCGTATTCGTTTCTTACGGACATGGATAATTGATACATTATTGTACTTTTACCGGATAATAACGCGACGGGCTACGATATAGGCACGTAATCAACGAAGTGGTCACGCAACGTTTGCCTGTTTGAAAAATGGACGAAACCACGCCTTTCTGGGTCTACTTGTTCAACGAACGTAATAGAAATTGGGTGACAATCTAGTGCTGTTCCGCGAAACGGCTGGAAAACCGTGCATTCGACAACCTTGACATATTGGAACGTTGGAGGTACACTTTCGTTATTAACTAAATATTTTTCTTACTATATACATCCACCAACGATTGGAAATTCATTATCCAGATAACAAGTTTCAAATAACGGATAAAAGATTAAAAAAAAGTACTTTGTCATTTTTCATTGATTAAATGTGGAAGTTCCAATATTTGTAATAAAATAGTACTTCTTGAATCTGGTTAACTGTTTAAAAGTCAAGATAGCGCTCTTAGACATTATTCGAATAAAATTTTACCCAACTCAATTGTAATAAAGGCCAATAAAGTTCCTATGAATAAATCTTGATTTATTCACGATTCTCGTAAGTTAATGTTATTATCAGTAATACTCATGGTCTTTAAACTTACATAGTTCAGACATAATTAAAAGAATAATAAGATGTTTCAGACAATTGTTTCTTATAAATCAAGTCGAAACTAATTAGCCGCATCGGTTCGACCGTCGTGAAATTATTCGTGTCAAGATTGTTCCGTGACGAAACCACAAAGTCAGCATTTACGAATCGCATACTAACGAGAATGGAACACATCTGTTTCCAAAGGAACCGCTTGCACGTACACGCAGGAAAATGCTATGCATATTTCAAGGTAAAAGATAATATACTCGACAATTGTTCCTTTTTTTCGAACCGTCAAGAAAATCAACGTTTAGAACGGGATCTTTCGTTGTAATAAAAAAATTCGTATCATGAAAAATCGATAGCTCGCTGCGGGTGGAAATCGGCAATAAGAAAATCAACTTCTCGACCGCGAGGAATCGCGAAACGCAGGACCGCGAATTTTTCCGCTCGAACAGCCAGGTGGTGGTTTGCAGGTAAACGCGTCCTTTCGACCGCCTTTGCGAATCCTTGAAGGCCTGCAGATGCAAATGCCCGTATCGTCGTCTCATTGTGTTCGGCTGAGCACGGCGAATCGTTACGTAAGATTTTTCGTCGAGTTATCTCGGCCACTTTTACGAGCGAGAGGGCTTCGCCAACTCTTCGTCCGCAGTCGTCTTATTTCTCATTTTTCCACGGAAAACTTTCCTTCTATTCGTTATTAAGCATCATTTAACCTTCATTTAACGAATACGTCGGTATTTTACCATAAATATTACCATATAACCAGTAGTTTTCCTCGACATGAAATTACTCAAGAGGATCGATTTCTCCTTCTTTATCTTCCATCAATTATTTACCACGAGCGTTCCATAAATTACTGTCCAGATTTTCATGATTGCACCCTCGCGCGAAATTTCGACTGTGTTTTCTATACTTCCTTCATTCCTGAAACATCAGACGTGTGTTCCAGGAACAGAGTTAAATTTGTCCCGAGCGACGAAAGACGTAATGAAAAATTCAAACGGGCTTCGAGCCGTTCTTTTCACCTGGCCCTGCGGAAAAGTTCTTCGGGCGACTTGCCCAAACGAACCGTTTAATTCGCAAACGAACTCGATTATGTACGTAT